GTAGAATTTTATTCTTATTTTCAACAACAAAACAATCCATATAATAATTAACGCCATTACAGTTTTGATTAATTTTTAGCATTTATTTATTTTACCGTTTGCTTTGAGTGTTACTGAAGAAGTGCCTTTGAGAACTGTTACTACTACTAATAACTTTCACTAAGCACTCAATAGCTCCGAGAATTCCCAAAAGTTAATTATATTTATACTTCAAAAAAGTGACACTATTATTTTGTCTATAACTGTATGTACTTGCATACGTGCCTTTGGACGCGCCGTATTGGCGGCCGGCAAAATTACGCTTTTACAAGGTGCCAAGTGTGCGATTTCGTGCAATTCCTGTGCGTTGTTGTTTCTGTCTTTCGGTAGTGACAAAAGTGGGTCACAATTGGCGGCGCGCGTTAGCGGCGTTGGCGGACCTAGCGCGACGCGCTGCTTGCTAAAAACAAAAGCTTGTAAATGAAAAAGGAATTTCGCGCCAATGAAATGTGTGAACAAAAAAAAAATAATTTAAATAAAAAATAAGCTAATAAAAATAATTAAAAAATCACGACACAGTAATTAATAAAATAAAAATAATATAAAAATTGAAGTGCGAAGGCTTTGAGTGCTAATTTATGTTAGCAACCCATATTTAGTGCTATGAGTCTTGCACTGCCAATGACACAACGGCGCACAAACAAATGAAAAAAAGGAATAAAATTATATGTAATTAATTTCGCAATCAGCGGCTATTAAAACTGTTAGAGGCGCGAAAGCGACGCGGATTAAAGAGTTCACACCACAAAATATAGCGAGAAAGCGAAATAAATTATATTATTATTTTCTTTCTTTCAAGCAGCAAAAATAAAATATTAACAAAAAAAAAGTGATTTTGCAAACAAATTTATATCAAACAATTATATTTATAAAACGCACGCGCTTGTGTACGCGTTGAACTTGTAAGAAAAACAGAAGTGTCGAAAATTCATTCATAAAATCAACGCTGAGCGCGGCGCTCTTTACGCACCTAGCAAGCGCTCTCAGCAGCGCTCATTTTCGAGCAAACTAAAAACGCAAACAAACAACGCTCCCACTCAGAAATTCTCCACGCGCTTGACTTACGAAGATGCAGACCTCACAACTGGTCACACCAGGTGCGGCGGCAGCAACGGCGCCAAATACTAACCATCATCACCTAAACAACAACAACAACAACAATAGCTATCATTACAATCCACATTTCCACAACACAAGCCACGGCAGTAACAACAACAATCACCACACTATGAGTTATACACCACACGAGCAAACCAACACATTCAACAATACTCAACCAACTCACCACCACCTGAATTCCGCCACAGCCACGAACACCACCACAACGAATAGCAACACACCAATAGCGGCGCACAAGTATGCGCCTGCACGTAGGCTAGCCGCACGTCAGACGCTACGCTTGCAAATACCCAAACAACAGGGTGACTCGTATGGTGCGCCTTCAACATATTACAAACATTCACCATCACAGCTGCCGCCTGCGCCAATACTGAAGCGCCATCAAACGCCGACACCAACATCGGCCACACATCAATATCACTCGTCAGCGAATGCGTTCCCGAAATCCGCTTCGCCGCTGGAGTCGCATAAGCTACCGAATGTGGTGTGCAGCAGCGCCTCACCGTCATCGCAGTTGTCTTCCGGCTCCTCGCTGTACTACAATGGCAGCAATGGTGGTCTGTCGATACAGACAGCCACCGCCACACCGTCGTGTGGCGCAAACAAGTTTCTTCACTTACGTAAACCGAGTATTACCTTGAATACGGCGGATGTGCGCAATAATAACGGCAATAGCACTGGCAGTATTGTAGCCTGTGGCAGTGATTTATTTAGCTTCGCTAAGGAACTGTCGCCTTCGATGGACATGAGTGGTGAGTTATATCAATGATTATTGAGCTGAGAAGAACGAAAACTATTTTCATTAAATTAGGCACGATAAAAGAACCAGAAGGAGCATAAACTCTCCTAGGATGGCCTGCGCCAAACAGTTTGAACCTTGTTTACAGAGGCAAAATATAAACTTCAAGCTTTGGTGGCCTTAATTAGAATTTACATTGAGTTTCGTGGTTTAAATCCGAAGAAGTTCGGCCTTTTTCATAAGAAAAAGCTCCCTTGAGTTTGTCTTTAGATAAGAAATGTTCCGTAAATTAGAATTTCTTAAAGAATATATTGCTAATCATCTAGGGTTAAGACAAAACGTTTTCTGTCAGAAAACCAAATCACATACCCTGCTCTAAATACTAGTATATAACTCGAATCGGTCTCCGATTCAGTCTTTTCTTTGGTCAAGTGCTGTACACCGGTTTTCTGAGAAACTAGTTCGAATTCTTTATTAAGCTACAACAACAATATTAACCAAATAAGACTCTAGCAAAAGCTTCTAAGGCTTCCCAAATATAAGTAATCGTTATTGCGTGTGTAGTGTGTTTAATCTCTGAAGATTTTGGTTAGTATATGCTAGTCTCTCAACAGACAATCGCATAATATACGCACAATAAAACGAAACCCTCAAGATAGAGGAAGGGTCCTCGTGGTCGCGTTTTTTATAAATGAAGCCAATGTTATTTTCTCCAATAATAAGGAAAGTTTCTTCCTACACAATAGTCTGCCTCTTATAGTCCTCAATAGCTACCAGCTCGGCATATTCTGAAGTTCATAATATGCCCTCTACAACTCATCATTCATTAAGGCAGTTTCGACGCTTGGCTTCCCTCAAGAAAATTTAAATGAAATCATTGTAATATAGAAATTTCTTTATCTATTTGTCTGTTGTGCAAAAGACTTCTTCACGTATTTGACAAATTGTTTTATTAATTATAACTAAGAAAAATCTGAAAAAATATTTTCGCAGATCACTCACGATTTTTGCCGAAATCGCCTCATCAATATCACCTTCAACAAGTTCTGGTGTTCTCCAACACATCATATTAATCGCTCTTCAGTTTAAGTCCATCAACCATACGGAGTTATGGCAATGTAAGTAATCTTTATTAATTTATTATAGTAGACTTACATATTTTAATTTATTTAATGCCAGTTTGGGAACAAAATGCATTAAATAAATATGTATTCAATGAAGATCTATAATAGATCTTCTAAAATCTACTATCGTGTTCTACAAAACACACGGTAGAAAATGTGTATATTAACTTTAATTTATTAACGATTTTATGATCTTACAGTCATTAATCGCTCTCCTAATCTTAAAACTCTATCTTGCGTTTAATTTAAGATCGGTTTTTTCCAAAAACCATTTAGGTAACTATTATTCGTTTACACTATCTTCTCCTTATTATTTGTAAAGAGTTCATCGTATAATAATAACCAAGTTAGGAGACTCTTGTAACTAAATGGACGTCATCTTCAAAAAACTGAAGATAAAAAATCACTTTCCACAAATTTCAGACTAGTTTGCGTATATACTGACAGACAGACGGAAAGATAGACCGACAGAAGGATGTGGCTAAATCAACTGAGTTCGACTCGTTTTTATACTCTTGCAACATGTTGCTGCATAGTAAATAGTTTTGTTCACCTAACGGTTGTTTGTATCACGTAAAACTAATCGAGATAAATATAGTGTTATATACATAATATAAATTATCATGATGACAAGACGAGTTGAATTCGATAACAGTTTGTTTGGTTAAAAATCACCACTAAAGAACTCGGAAAACTAAATTGTATAGTTTTCAAACTTTTGTTGTAGATATAATGTTTTCTTTAAGTTATTGCGCATATTTTATTAAGGAACAATTTTAGCTGACCTAAGTTAATTTAAAATTATAAAATTAAATTTTAAAATTGTAACGAATCTCTGCATAGATTTGGACAAAGTTTAGTTTAAATACATGGCCAATCTAGCTTGATTTCAACTAAAGACTTCACTGCCTCCATAAAATTTTAATTTATTAGTATATTACTTATATATTAAAACTTATTGTTATATTTACTTTGTCGTTTAGATAACAATAGCTCATATTATTAAGTATTTTAATTTAATAATTTAATCATGTATAATGAAGTAATAAATTAAACACAACAACAACTATAATAAAAAGACAAACAACCGCGTATGCAACGACTCATTAAAGGTCATGACTTTGCATACATTTAATAACTAAAAGACTTAATTAATGTGACTGACTGCCAAGCACATGAAAAGCAGCACACACACGCACACACATACACAACAATAAATATAATACTATGCGCTTTAGAATACAAATAGAATAGAAATTACAATGCGAATAGAAGTAGAATGGCGCAAAAAAGAATAAATAAAAAGCAAATAGCGGAATATCACAAATAAAATAGGCACGAACAAGCCAGCGAAAACAAACAGAAGAAATATTGAATGAAGGAAAAAAAAAACGGGACAAGCCACACACTATGAGTAACAGGCGTGTTCGCGTGAGTGTGTGCGCCAACACCTGTAAATAAATGTAAAAATACACGATAATCAAGCCATTAAACCATAATTCACGATTCAACTGATCAGGTTTGAACACACACACACCCCCAAACATACACATTTCCACGTGTTTAACGAAAGCTCGCAGCGCTCCGTCGACACCTTCGTACAACAACACGACGATAATAAAGTTCACCTCAGGCACTGATGTTCATGTTAGTTGGAGCTAATCATTAAATTGACATTACTAATGACAATTTCGTTGGTGTCGACCGCACGCACTGGAATGCCACGACACACCCTACACGGTCGTTATAAGGGCTACAGGGCGTATGCGGCTGTTTAATGGCAGTGCGGAGAAATATAAATGTGTGCATGTGGTGTTGGGTGAAGTATATCAAGCCTGCGTGTGTGACAACTTCTTTCACATATGTATTTATTGTTGTTGTGCGGCTTGTTAGTATTGCTTGCTTTGAAAATTTGAATTTCCTTGAGTTCGCGAGTCGGCGGCGAAGTAGCGCAGTTGAGGTGCTAATTTTGTGGTTTTGGTGGCGAACATCTCTAAAGAGAAAGTGCAAAACCACGACGTTTTGGTGTTGAGAATGCGGTTTGAATTGTTATATGGATCAGAGCGAGTTATTCATGGAAATTACTTTTGAAGTGAACTTTTTAGACGCGGTAGGTGGTAAAATTGATCGACTGCAATGAGATTTCGTTACGCTCGAAGTATCAGCATCAACATTTTTGAAAAGGGTACAATTAATAAAAAAAAATTAAAGTTGAAAGAATTATTGCGAAACAGTTAAAAATAAGAAAGTTGAAAGAAAAATTGAGAGTGCTGCCAGCTATATACATACATACATTTTTTTATCAGTGAAATTGAGAAAAGTATTGAATGATTATCTACAACATGGTTATCTCAAAAATCTTTAAAAACAATCCAGCAGTGTTTCAAACTGTAAAGACTAGCAATGGAGAATATTTTGTAAAGGGTTGCCACCTGTATGTTTTTTAAATGAAATTAAAAATAGTAAAGAAAATTTAATAATATCGATATAAACTTGAAAGGTTTAAAATGTGTGAAAAGTTGCCACCTATTTAATATTTTATTCAATCAGAGTGATAAATTAAAGGATGTTTTACAGATTACAAAAGAGTTTTGATGGAAATATTTTGAGTATAGCTCCCATTGAAGTAGAGAAAGCGTGCCATCTGTATGTTTGTTAATTTAAATTACTCAAAAATCAAACTAAACTCATGCATATGTATGTTAGAAATATTTTTAATGGTTGCCACCTGTTTAGTTTTTAAATTATAATAAATTGTTAAAGAAGAAATTTGTCATAAGGAGTTTTATTGGAGATATTTTAGAAGGGTTACCAACTTGAAAACAAATTAGTTGATAAAATAAATTCAAAATCACAAGATTGTTAACTATATATATAATAATTTTTTATGATAAAATCCATTTTTGATTCCCTTGAACCCTTAGCCGAGCTCCAGGAGAACTTCAGAAAAAGGTGTCTGGTGGTGAGAAAGATTTGTTTGCTTAAATTATCTAAATCTAATAACCAAAAGTTTTTATTGGTCTAAACGAATACAGGTAGTGATCGAAGGACAAGTTAAAAATTTGATGTTTGACAAAATGGCTTACCAACAAAAGCCATTTTTGAAAAAAACATTTAATATCAAAATGGCACTAAAAAATCAAAACTATTATGAAAAATCTGATTCCTTAAGTTATTATTCTACAAAAATATCTAAGCAGGTCGTGCGAAAATTTAAAGTCAATTGATCCAGCCGTTTGGATAATTCTTCCTCACTGACTCTGAAACAGTGAGAGAGATTTCGAGAAAGAAGCGTTTATAGTTTTTTTATTCGATTACACTAAGTTAAAAAATTCTAACAAATACGCTCATATCTTCGAAAATACAATATGCTCAAATTAACATGTGTACATTCGATATATGTACATATACACATATATTGTATATGCAAAAAAAGGAATTTTGAAATTAAAAAGTGGATATAATTTTTAAGCTATCTAGTAAATTTATGTGAGCTTTTTCATTTTAAAGGTCTTTTCAGCTTTTATTTTGACTGCCGAATATCTTTTGTTTATATATTTAATATCTTTTAAGCTAAGGGAAGAACGTAGTTACAAAGTAATATTTGATTCAATTAATTTTATACGAAGTTTTTTGACTGTAGGCATATATGTATACTAGGACGGTTCAAAAATTTTCTTTTCACTTGCTACTTTAAAAAATAGGTTCTTAGACACCTCTAAGAAAATCTCTCCAAGCATGAGCTCTTAATTGTGACGGGAAGGTCCTACACCTTACAGTTTTCTATTTTGTTCTTATTATCAAATAGAAAAATTCAAATCTCGCTTCCAACCACATAAAAACATATGATTTTTTGTTAATAATAATTAAACGGCTGAAGTTTGATTATTTTAAGGCAAATTGTTT